GTGTGTTTTAAGTTTCCGGTGGAAATAGTTGAAGCAAGGACCTGATTTTTTTTTTTTTTTAAAGAGCTACCACTGATTTAAAATGTCTTCTCCCCGTATGATTTCCTTCATTAAGTAGTAGATAATAACAACAATAAACAAACACATAGGGACAGAGATTGGATTGGTGGTTACCAGAGGGGAAGGGCGGAGGGAGGAGGGTGAAAGGGATAATTCGGTACATGTGTGTGGTGATGGGTTGTAATTAGTATTTTGGTGGTGAACATGATGTAATCTATGCAGAGATAGAAGTATAATGATGTACACCTGAAATTTTTACAATGTTATAAACCAATGTTACTGCAATAAACAAACAAACAAACAAAAAAATAAATAAATAAAATGTCTTCTCCCTATGGAATCTCCTTTTTCTGGGACTTGTGTGCTGGGTAGTTGCACACTCTAATGCAGGTTTCTATTCTCTCTCTCGTAATCCATTCCCCTTTGTGAGGAGGAAAAGCTATTGTAAATCCACACTTTATTTCATTGAGCATTCATTCAACCATGTGAAAAATGAAATAATAAACAGTTTATTTTCTTTAGTATTCTCCAATATGTTGCAAATTATCTGACTTATCACATATTTATCATGTAATGAACTTTGTTGCATTAGTATAACAGAAACCCACTCTACTCTCTTAAAGAATATTTATTGGAAAGTAAATTTGTTGGTTCATGTAACAGGTAGGTTTTTCTTCTCTTCAATCCGGTCATCCTTGTCCTCCTCCCTGTGTCAGCAGTAATGATTGTGGTCTGGGGAATGCCATATCCTGATTGGCTTTGATCTGGCTGGAAAGGGGTGGTATTAAATTGGGAAAGAGCCACTGTGCTCAGGTGATAGCAATGGAGCTGGGGATAGGGATGACTTCCCCTGAGGTAGATAGTTTCCTAATAAAATGGTGGGCACCTAAACAGAAAAATGTCATTCCGTTAGGAGGGGGAAAGATATAGGCAGCCAACAAGTGTCCGTTATGTGAAGCATAATTAAAATAAAGGAAATGGAAGAGGGAATAAAGGAAAAAGTAAAGGAGTTGCAGGAAGATTCCTTGGAAGAAAGAGAAACATATGTAGTGGCAACAGAGTTCCAAGAAGAAAAAACAGAAGACAAAAGAAACTAAAGGAAGAAAAGCAGAGGAAGATTTAACTGGGACAGACGGAGTCTGAGTTTAAGGGAGAACAAGGAATTATCCTAGGACATTTATTTAACTATTTTTAGTGAAGCATTTCCAACTTTTGATGCGTTTTGTTTAGCTCCTCCTCTCTTAATGAAACACTTGAAAAATAAAATTTTGTTAGTGATTGTTGTGGCTATGCCTTATTCTCAATTTTAGGGTGACTAGTGCTGATTGAATAAGAACTAAGTGTTTACTTTTCAGATCACAGACTTGTGCATTATACCAGCTGCATCCCTTTTCTGTCCGCTGATTATTTGCCTTAGCCACTGTTGGTTGACCACTGGTCATGTCCAGCTAAAGTTCTGGAAGGTTTACCACAATGAGGAAGTGCAGCAACTGGACAGATTTTTCAAGGAATATGCAACCAAGCAGAGTAAACAAATCTTGGCTCCTTTTTTTAAGAAGGAATCTTTGGTCATATCAAATTTTTAGGGCTGAGAGAATGCCTGCATCCTGGACTCCTTTAGTGTTACTAGGTAGATATTACTTAGCCTCCATAGCTGGTGGAGGAAGCTACGAAATACAGTGACCACCCAGAGTCTACGGTCCCAACTGGAGGGACCCTTAACCACGAATAATATCATATCGTTCAACACTTACTTTGTTAGTTAACATGTAGCAGACTTTGATTAAAGTGGCCTCTTTGGTTACAAAAGTTTTAATGTCATCCTCTCACTTCAAGCATCTAGTTTTCCAAATTTCTTTTGGTCCTTCATAAACAGGGAGAAGAGGAACCTTTCCATTTACTCATAACAGTTCATTCCAACTGCTAAAGAGATCCAGACTTCTAATAACTAATGGATGAACTTGAGAGATTTGAGAAGACTCAATAAGTGTGCAGGCTGCTGAGGGAAGTATTTCTGATTCCTGGCAACTTTAAATAGTGAATAGGCAACCAAGGCAGGCCTCCTCAGTTAACAGCTTGGGTAACAATCCGGTAATGCCATTTGAATAGCGCTAAACTATCTTTCTGTCCTTTTGGCTTTGGCACATGATAAAAATCTCTGCATTGATCAAGGTTGGGGAATCAGAATGAAGTCTTTTATAAAATACTCATATTACATAACTCTGTAGTTATGCTGTGCAACTTCCACAAGCTCTTTATTAGAAAGACAACTTCACACAAAGGTGATGAAAATACACTTGGAGCCCAGGAGATGGTGTGCAACCTTTCTTTACTATGAAACTTTTACACAGAAGTTTTTCTGTTTTTATGGATCACCACTCAGTTAGTGGAGAGACAGTATTTCATGCATCTGACAATCTTTTTCCTGATTTTCCTTACCTCTTGTCTTTTCTACCCATCTCCTCTCTCCCTCTCTGTGAACCTGGGTCCTCCCCTTTGTGCTCAAGTTTAAGGAGATCCAATGGATCTTTCTAATAGTTTTTTGTTTTTTTTTTGTGAGGAGAGATCAGCCCTGAGCTAACATCCATGCCAATCCTCCTCCTTTTTTTTCCCTCTTTCTCCCCAAAGCCCCAGTAGATAAATGTATGTCATAGTTGCACATCCTTCTAGTTGCTGTATGTGGGACACCACCTCAGCATGGCTGGACAAGCTGTGCGTCTGTGCAAGCCCAGGATCTGAACCCGGGCCGCCAGTAGTGGAGCGCGCACACTTAACCGCTGAGCCATGGGGCCGGCCCCCTGCAATGGATCTTTGACTGGGAATTCTAGACCTGTGCTGTACATTACAGTAGCCTCTAGTCACAAATGGCTACTGAACACTTAAAATGTGACTAGTGTGACTGGGGAAATCAATTTTTAATTTAGTTTAATTTTAATTAATTTAGATATTAAAATTGAAGCTATTAAACAACACTAAACACAATTTTATTGTAGTGAAGTACTACATTTCACTGTAACCTTTGAAAATTTAGCATTGAATTAAGATGTGCTAAAAGCATAAAATACACACTAGAGTTTAAAGATTTAGTATAAAAAAAGAATGTAAAATGCCTCATTAATAGTTTCTATATTGACTAAATGTTGAAATAATAATATTTTGGATAATTAATCTAAATGAAATACATTATTATAATTAATGTAACCTGTTTCTTTTTACTTTTTAATGTGGCTATTAGAAAATTTATATGTGGCTGATAATTCTTATGGACAGCACTTTCTAGAGTCTCACATTCTTCAGGATGGAGTGCCTATTGAATACAAACAAGCCACTCTCTTGGTTATATAGGTCACCTTTCATAGCATAAATTCAAGTATAAATGCCAAGAGACTGGCTTCCCTCTCTAGAATGAGGAAAAAAAAGGAATGGGGAACAAATCTCATCCTGAAGCCATCACCAGTTCCAACACTCAGCATCACTGAGAGAATCAAATTAAGCTGCCTTCAACAGCGTGGGTAATGAAGACATTGGGCCAAGAGAGTTTTGATGGCTGGGTTGAGAGAGAAAGGAGAGGATATTGTAGACAGGTAGAGAACATTCCAGGGCATGGAACATTTTCAAGAGGGCTAGTTAGGGGCTGATTTAAGAGGGAGGCCCTTAGACATGAATATCTTGGGTTCCTGGAGGGGTGAGTGTATTATAAAGAAGAAAGAGGAAACTGAGCAGAAGATGGAAATATCCTGAAAAGAAGCTTTGGGATGGATTGTAGGCAAACATCCTTCTTGGAGGCATCAGTTAAAATACATGGCATTGTGATATCTCTTCTGATATCAGACATTTTCTTCTCCCAGATTCAATCCTGGTCTTCTGTGCCACCAGCTTGAATGTTTTTCCACTGATGCTGCATCTGCTCCAGGGACTCTGTTTGGTCCTTAGTACCTACCTCAACGTCCTTTGAAGATTCAGACAGGTAGATGGGGAGCAAACAATTTCCTCATAGTCTGCTAAATTCCCAAAATGCGAAATTTCAGTGGTTATTGATGTCATTTAAATGCATCAATATAATTTTAGATATTTATCATGTCCAATAGTCGTTTTACAGAGAGAAAAAAGAGATGATGCACCTAGCCCAGGATCAGCCACTAGTCAGGATCAGCTGACGCTACTAGAAACAGAACTGGGACTGTATCTTCAGGCTCTTGAGTCCTAATTGGGGTCCAACACTACCATATATCACTTCCACCAGTTTTAACCAATGGTGCCACACTAATCGTAACTTTTACTTGTAATTTGAGTTCACTGCAGAGCCCAGTAGATTCTGGACGGCTGTGTAGGCTGCCCTTGTATGCTGATGGTCTGGTAAAGATTACTGTTTATTTTATCTGGTACATTATGAATTTTAAATATGTTTTGGTCACAGACAAAATATACTTTGTAAGATTTTTAGGGGATAAAAATGATAGCAAAAATTCTAACTGAATAAGCTTTGAGGTAAGAAAGTATTCTCAAAGAACATGATTTACCTCTTCATTTTAGAGATTTCCTGGCCTGACCATCAGCAATACTTCATGAGAAAAAGAAGGAATTTGGTTAATACCAGCTATCTAAAAATTAAATGAATTAAAATTAAATGCTATTTTTGAATGTTTAGAATTAGCATTAGAATTAGCATCCAAATAAATAGCTTGTCTTGTTGATTATAAGTCAAGAGTAGCTTTAGGAGGTTGAAGCTAAGATCCAAGCCAATATATGAGAAAAATCACATCCATAGTTTCTCAAGAATATGGAAAAGTGTTACAAATGGCACTGTTTCTACAGAGAGTGCAATATACAGTATCTAGAAACTGTCTATACATGGTGAACTCTATACTGTATCATTTCATCCATTTTTCCAATGAGAAGGGATAAATACAACTGAACAGGTGGTACCCTTTTTTTTTCGATTACTGTAAGTAAGTGAAATGAGTAGACTCTCTTTGGATGGACTATGTAATATGTGGAATTCGTGTTCGTTATCTTATAGGGAGTTATTTGTAAATGAAATCCTGTGGACATGAGATTGCAAATATGTGATTTATAAGCCAAGAAAAAAATACAGCTTTAAATCCTAGTGCCCTGCATTTCAAATTTCTGGCTGATTTATAAGCCTTTTAAAGCCCATGCTATTAAGCAATTCAAAATTTCAATGGCTGTATATGTTTAGCTAACATTAACTCCTCAGCTAGCCACCCTGTGGCATTTTGCACGCTATTCTTCATTTTTTCCGCCTGTATTTTTTCTCGTCTAGCTTTTTCAGAAACGTTATCCCTATTTCTGTCACACTGTCGCCTTTTAGTCTGTCTTGCAAGAATGTAACATCAGCAGCCAAATGAACCTAGGAAAGAAAAAAAAAACAGGCTTGTGTCACTCAGGTTTTGAAAAAAAGCTCTCTAAATTTTTCTGTTTCCTTTTTCAGCTTTATTTACCCCATAAGGAGCTGACTTTCCTTATGGAATGGTAAAAGCGAGCTTGTTCTTGGATGAACGGTCCTTTACTGTGTTTCCCCCAGAGATGGTCTGGCTGTGTGTCAGCTCTGTGTTGTGAGTCTGCAAAGAAAAGGGCGGTCTAGGCCAGGCTCATCTTGGCTGACTCTGGGGCGAGCCCAGAGATGTGGGCCCATTTTTGCTCACAGCGCTGGGCAGCACTATGGATCCGTCTCAGGAAGAACACAGATTCCCAACTCAAAGATGCCTTGATCCACTGTGCCTTGCCAAGTAGAACTTCCAAGGATAAATGGATTCTTAAACAATTCCTCTCCAACTGACTTGCTATGAATCATTCTGTCATTAGCTAAATAACATAATTGCTTGTCCTAACAACATTTAGCAATCACTTATGGTTTGAAAGCTTTGAAAAATTATCAACTAAATAAATATAAAATTAAAGATTGAAATTACAGACATGCATACTTGATACCCAGCCCTTCTTTTCCACTGGAAAGCATTCCCCATTTCCCAGACATTGAAGCAAGCCCTAAGGCTTTTCTAGTCACTATTTCTATTTTCTATTCGTTAAAATGTAATCCCATAAGAGCAGCATGATATTGCTGACCTACTCTCAAGAGTGTCCATTCAGCTATTTTCAGTCATAGAGATAAATAAGCGAAAGTACCTAGTAAAAGCAAATAACAAGTGAAAAAGCCTGGAAGTAGTAGGCAATTAATTAAAATTTATAAAATCTTACCTGACTCACTCCTCTCTCTCACTAAGAATTCCTTGGCCAACCAGTCTAGATTTGTTAACCCATAGACTTTGGTGTGGCAAATTATCTGACTCGTACGGGGTACAAAAATCATACCTTTGAGATGCCCACCACCCAATAGAAGGATGTAGACTGCACTTTGAAATATAGAAGCTAAATTCACCCTTATTTTTTCCCCATAAGATCTTTTTTTGTCTTTGTCAAAATTTAACAGCAAATCATTTAAAACAAGGAGATGACATTGAAGTCATTTAGATATTTGGGGCCACATGAGGTCTGATACCTATTTGTCACTCAACATATATAATCAACTGTTATCCACAAAAGCGGGAGAGTTATCCTATTTTTGACTTGGTTTTATGGTTCATCTCTTTGCCTGTAGGCTCCCAGAACTCTTCCCTCCCCCTTTCTTGACTTCATTGCCACTGATTGTAAGGCAAGCCTAAAAAAACGGTAGGGTAGAAGCATGGAGGACCTGTGTGAATAACACATTTCTATTGTTTTACTCTTTTGGATTACATCTTATTATATCCTTCCCCTAATTATCACAAATAATTGAAAATCATATGCATGCCTCATTATTGTATAGGTCAACACACGTCTAGCCTTTGTCCACTATGTGGTCCCACCATTCTTAACAGCTAACCTTCTGGAAAAATGAGACTCTGTTGACTATTACTTCTCCCTAAGCTGCTCTTGGCTCACCAGTCTTTGAGAGATTGTCTTCTTCTCCCTCCACTTTCCCAAAACAGCTTTTACCGAGGTCCTTCCTGACTTTTTGGTCCATAAACGTTGTGAATATTTTTTGAGTCTTGTTTTACTCTGCCTCTCTGCTGTCCTTGATCTTGTGAATCACTCCCTCTTCTTGAAATAGTCTCCTCCCTTATTTCTATAGCTCCATTCTTTCCTGGTGTTTTTCCTACCTCTGATTACTCCTTCTTGGTATCCTTCGCAGCCTTTGTGTTCTCCGTTTAACCTGCTCATTATGTTTTGTTGTTTCCTAGCGTCCCATCTATGACTCCTTTTTCTTCTTACTCTACACACTCTCCCTAGGCATTCTTTGACAGTTCCAGTGTCTCTTTGGTCCACTTGTCTCTGTGACTTCCAGATATGCATAACAACTGCTTAGTGGGTATCATCACTTGTGTGTGAGTTAGACACCTCAATCCCAGCAGCTGCCAAATTGAACACCTCACTTTGTCTCTTCCCATCCCCAATGCCCCCAGTGTAATCCTCCTGGTTTTGTTTCTTTGGTTAATAGTACAACCAGCCCTACAGGTTGCTCAGAAACCTAAAAATAATTCCTGAATCTTTTCCTCAATTGTGTCCCTTTAAGCCAACTGATAACCTACCTAGTTATCTGTTCTACCTTCTTAAGGTTACTCAAATCTGTCTTCTCTCATCTCCTACTGTCAGAGGTTCGTTCTGGTTTTACTTGAGGTTACCATCATCAGCTTCCTAACTGCTCTCCCCATCCTCCAGCACTGTCCCCTCCTGTACACTTTCACTTTGTTAACAAAGGAATGAAATTCCTAAAACACAAATATCAAAGTATCATTCCGCTGTTTATAAACCTATAACAGGTTGTGTCTGTTTTCAATATAAAAATCCAAATTCCTAAGCTTGTAACATGAACACCTTTTTTATGAGGCCTCTGTAAAGAATTTAAACCTCGCTTCTCGTGACAATACTTCTCTCAACCTGCATGTCACTCATACTGAACTAGTTCAAGTTCCTTGTTCCTTGAATGAAACATTCTTTTGCTGCTCCTTTTACCTGGAATACTATTTTCCCCTGCTTGCCTTACCCTAAGACCTTTGCCTAACTCCTATTTATCCTTTAAATGCCATCTCAGAGTTTCTCTAGGAAGCCTTCCCTGCCCCCAGCTCCCTCCCCTCTCCCCGTCCTCCCATAGCCCTTAGGTACACTTCTTTACACATCTGATTTCTCTACAGGACAGAAGATTCTTGAAGGGCAGCAACTGTGTCTTGCTCTTCTTTGTAAGTTCAGTGCCTGACTCTTAGCAGATGCTAATAATTGTCTTAGTTAAAGCAATGAATAATTCAGGTGTGGAAGCCAGCCTCCAAAATGGCCCTGCAGTGACCCCCACCTCCTGTCATTCACGCCCTCAGGTAGTGCCCTCCCACAATGTACCAGGGTTGGCAGCACCAGTTGTGATTAGATCCACAAACAGGCCTGTGTGGCCAGAAACTTCCTGAAGCCTCCAGCCAACTGCCAGCAAGGCACTGAGGCCAAGTGAGTGAGCTTGGATGTAGATTCTCCAGCCTCAGTCAAGTCTTCAGAGACTGCAGCCCTGGCCAACAGCTTGATTGCATGTGTTTAGCTATGAAAGGCTCTGAGCCACAACTACCCAGCTAAGCCTCACTCAGATTTCTGATCCTCAGAAACTGTGTGAGATAATAAATGTCTGTGGTTTTAAGTGGCTGTATTTTGGGGTAATTTGTTACACGGCATGGCATAACTAATATACCCGGCAAAATGAACTATGCACTTTACCATTTCCAGGGCACCTCTGATAATCCCACAAAGTAAATTGCAGTAGCACAGAGAAGATCGTCCAGCAGGGAGCTCTTCCACAAACTCCACCAGAGGATTCTTGTCTAGAATCAGGGAAAATTCACTTCTGCCTGAATTGTTACAGGTCACACTTGGTGTAATTCCCAAGTACATCTTGAAAGCAACCTAATAAAAAGGAAAAAAAATTACTAAAATTTGGTCTAGAACAAATGTCTATTAGTAGGGCACCCCAATATCCTGTTCCAGGTGGTGCACAATGGTTAAACATGTGGAGATTGTAGGCAGGAAGTCTGGGTTCACTCTTAGCTTTGGAATTTACTCACCCTGACTTGTGCAAGTCTTCAACCCTTTTATTTTTATGCAACCTCTTAAGGGACTAGTTTGCTGTGAAAAAAATATGGTTTATGAAACAGAGTTAAGGCATTATTCTCAAAAAAAAAATCTTTTTCAGAAATAAATATCTTTTACGAGGGTAAAAAATTAAAATATTATTAATCATCAACAAACTACTACATTTGTCATACTGAGCCTAGTAAAATATAGGATCTGGAATTAAAACAAGAAGTGGCCCCAGGACACATCTGCCACAATAGGAAGATGATAGAACAGAGAATGCTGTGGGAAGATTAGACCCAAGGGTGTGTTTTGGGAAATGGAGAGGATCATATCACTAAGAATGACAAGTCTCTAATAAGGAGCAAGGGGTAGTGGTGGGAGGCATATAGATGAGTCATAAAGTAGCTTCTGCAAAAAGTTTGTGGTTTTACAGGGCTGAAAGAATTTTATAATGTAGATATAGAAGAAACCTTAGAAACTATTTCTTTTATACCCCCAGTTTCACAAATGAATAAGCTGGGATTCAGAGAAGTAAAATGACATGACCAAGGCTATACTGTAACTTAGTTCCTTGACTCCTAATCCAAGGCAGTTTCTTTTCAGAAAATGCACAGGCCTGGAATTTGAAGCTTATTAATGGGAATTTGTCAGCTTGATATGTTGTCATCTTTCAAGTACCTTAATTAAATTTTTAAAATTAAGACCAGTGTAGGAAAGAATGGAAACAATTTCCTTGAATTATAATTAGAAGTACTAAAAGGTTCATCATTCACTCATTCATTCATTCATTCATTCAGTAGGTACTCATTAAGCACTGCCTGTCTAGCATGGTGCCTGGCACACAGTGGGAATTCAATAACTATTTGAAAAACAAATTATTAAATGAGCATCCATTCTGTGTTTGACACCATGTTTAGACCCAGAATACAAACGTAAATAGGACGTAGTTCCTCTTTTATGTGAGCTCATAGTCAAAAATGGACTATAGATATTGAACAAGTAATTGCAATGGTATGATAAGTCCTACAAATACAATGTTGTATATTAGGAAGCAATCATGGAAATATTCAGAGGTAGAAACTTCTTCCCTGTCATGAATATTGAGTGAGAGTTTGCCAGGTGGACAAAGTGGGGTGGGAGAGCTATCCTAGGTAGAGGGAATATATCATGGGCATAAAATACCATAATAAGGTTCAGGAGAGGTTGGCAGCTATCAACTTGTAGGCAGCAGGGAGCCCCGAAGGTATGAGTAGGCTAGAGTAGAATTGAATTTCTGTTTTAGAGGGATCTCCTGCATGTCAGCAAGGAGGATGGATTTAGGGTTGAGGGTGGGGGTGGGCATGAGGTCAAAGGCAGAGATACCAATCAAGAGGTAACTATGATAGCCTAGGAAAGAAATGATGAGAACCCTTCTCATTTTGTCTTTCATTCAAAATTCAACCTCTCCCTAAACGTTTCCATATAAATTTCAAATAGCCCAAATCCTAATATTTGGTTCAAGTCTCTAACACTAGTCAATTTAAGAGGATATAAAATGAATCTTCCAGATCTTAAGTCAAAGCAGTAAAAGTTGCAATCTTAAGTAGTGAGAGAAAAAACTACCGTGGAACTCCAGGCTTGGAGACTTGATCTGGCTCCCAATCAATTGGCTGAAACAGACTTCTGCTAATGTTGATTCCTCCAGCTGGAAAATTCCTAGACAATTATGTGTATGATTGAGAATCAGAAATCCAAGCCCCATGAAAATAACATAAAAATGGAGGCTGTGCACTTTGAATTTACTCTAATTCTCAGTGTTTTGGCTCTAGTTTCATGGTCCAATATCCACCAGTAGGAGGCATTATCTGAACATGATTGGGAAATATTCATTCCTAGGGAATGACATTGTTTCCTTATCTGGCTGAATTCAGCCTGAGAAGGAGGACTGTTGTTTCTAAGGAAGAAAGAGCTCCACCCTCAGCTGCTGCCACAGCTGCTCTGCCAATGAATAAGAGCAAAGCGTTTTCCCTCTTTGTGTATCTCCAACATGGATGCTTTTCGGGGGGTTTTAAAATTCTTCCTTAACCAGAAAACTGCTATTGGCTACAGCTTCCTGGCTCTGCTGACGGTGGGAAGTGAGCGTCTCTTCTCACTCGTGGCTTTTAAGTGCCCCTGCAGCACTGCGAATCTGGTCTACGGGCTGGTTTTCCTCTTTGCTCCTGCCTGGGTGTTACTGATCCTGGGATTCTTTCTGCACAACCGGTCGTGGAGACTCTTCACAGGCTGCTGTGTGAATCCCAGGAAAATCTTCCCCAGAGGCCACAGCTGCCGCTTCTTCTATGTCCTTGGCCAGATCACTCTGAGTTCATTGGTGGCTCCAGTGATGTGGCTTTCTGTGGCTTTGCTCAATGGGACTTTTTATGAATGTGCCATGAGCGGGACGAAAAGTTCAAGACTCCTGGGACTGATTTGCAAGGGCAAGCCCAAAGAGTGCTGGGAAGAACTTTACAAAGTATCTTGTGGCAAGACCAGCATGACACCCACAGACAATGAAGAATTGAAACTGTCCCTGCAAGCCCAGTCTCAGGTAAGAAAGGACAAACTCGCCTTTCTCTCCCAGCATGAGCCTGAAGTATTCTCTCTGTTCTCCTGTCCGCCGGGGCTATGTCTGAATCCTGCTAGAACATTTTGAAACTAAATGCAAAATGCAACATGATGCAGCATTAAGACAATCTCGGGAAAAGCTTTTTAGAGGTTAGATGGCTCAATAAAATTGCTGATTGTATTGTTTTTCCCATTTCCAAAAAGAAAATATCTTCTGGGTTATGCATCTGTAAATACTTAAGTACTTTAAAACAATCTCTCTGGGTTGACTTTGCAAATAATGCATGACACTAACTCATAACCGACTGTTAATGGCAGAGCTGTAATCAGAAATTTCTGCCTTCTATCAATTATTTATTTGCAAACTTGTTTCTTAGAAACACACATACAAACAATATTTATCTATTAAAATATAGACAAACCAAATGAGCTAATACTTTTCAAAGTTGCATGTAATATAATAAGTGTAGGGCTTGCCTTGAATGATTTCTGGCAACTGCTATATCTATGTATAAACATTGTCAAGATTGAGAAGAATTTCCCATATAAAATAGGACTTGGCAGTCTTTAAATAGCCTTCAGTGAAAAGGGACCATATTCTCTAGGGAGATTATGTCTTTTTGTGCTGTACAGCTAAAAAAGTTCTTACATTACTTTAGAGGCTCAAGATATGGGGCATTGTTTTATTTAACAGAAGGAAATCATAGTTTTACCTAAGTGATGCAAGGAAGTAGCTTGTCCTCCTTCCAGACACATAAGCACAAATCCAGATGTGAAGCCTTGCCCCTGCCTCAGGAAAAGACTGAATTCCTACTTGTGAGTAGTAGGAATTGCATTCCCCAAACCAAACAAGCAATAAGAGTAGATAAACAGATCCACAATTTGTCAGGAATGCTATTTGTTTCAGATTAAATGCACTGAAAATCGTATAATTATATTTTCAACAACGACTTGCCTTTACAACAACACGTCAAGGCAAAGTCTGTTTTTTTAAAAAATTTTTTTATTGAGGTATAATTGACATCAAAGTTTGTTTTTAAAATCACACATTCCAAAGCTGGATGGCAGTGTAGTCATAGTCTTTTCATAAACTGATAAGCCTAAAAATGACCCCAAACAAAATCTTATGTTTAATGTACGAAGAGCATCTTAGATAAAAACATGCCAGGCTCCCAAATGTCTTCCCTCTTTTGTTGAAGGAAGGTATTAATTACGAATGTTATGATACAATGAGTGATTTATGGTTTATGTCCTCAGGGTCCAGGCTCCATTCAGTTAGCGCCAGATCCAAACACTTATCACTGCGTGAGCTTTTCTTCTCTAAACACAGGCATAAGGAAATGGTGCACATCCTGTCACAGCTCAGCCTGGGCACACTGACCTGTTTACTCCTCGGCAGAATGAGAAGGACCTGGGGCTGATTCCTAGGGGAGGATGCATGAGGGATGTGGACAAAGGGAGCTGTGTCCATAGAAGGTGCTGACCACAGCGGTTCAGACAGGCAGGAGCAGCAAACAGTCCAGACCAATAGTTGAGTGTGTGGGTGGGGGTGGAAAAAGTGTCCCATCCATGGGTGGGGCAGAGAAACAAGAACTCCTGCTGGGTGGCTCTCTGTTCTTAAGGAAGGTAGAATAGAGTAGTGGCAAGAACTTGGCCCTTGGGTTGGCTAGCCTTGGGTTTGAATCCTGACTCTACCACTTAACAGCTATGTGACCTAGAGCTAGTGGTTTGACTTCTCTGAGCCCTGGTTTCCTCTCGTTGGGTTATAACACCTACCTTGGAGAGTTATTGGAAGGTTTAGAGATAATGGACATAAATGGGCATAAAGCTGCTGGCACATGTTAAGTGTTCTAAATTCTAAATTGATGAGACAATTGAGAGAAGATACTCAGGCAGAATGCTATAAAATTGAGAGCTATTTATGGCTGGTGTGGGAGCATCTACCATGTCTAGTTAGATTCTGGGCATTATGAATTGGAGAAGAACAAGAGGGCTCAGTGCTTAGCACTCAAGTGAGAGTGAAGCGATGCTAAGGTTATGCAATGTGGGGTCATGAAAATGGGGGTAAGAGAGGTCTGAAACTGATCGAATAGATCATAACTCAAGCAGAATGGCTCAGATGTTGAGGTGAGATGGCCTACTGGTCCACAAGATGCCCAGCTGTGGGGAAAGAGGAAGGTAGAGGATGAAGAAAAGAGGACGTTCTGAGGTAGCCAACCACAAGTGATTCAAAGTAAATATGAGGA